GGGAGCAGCCGGCTCTGAGGACCCCGGTGTGGTGGGGCCCTGGCTCTGGGTCAGGCTTCCCTGGGAGGAAGCTCTCACCCCAGATGGACACCAGTGTGAGAGGGGAGCCAGCGGGAAACAGTGCTCTGAAGGGCGGGAAGGCTTTGGGATTTTTCTACGTGAATCAAACCCACAAACAACTTTTGGAGAAATAAAAATAAATTCTGAATGTAACTTCTGCGTTTAATCTTTCTTCCACTTTCTTTTTCCTGGTAGTAGCCAAAGAATGTGGCCTATTTGACCCGTGTCCGGGGAAGGCAGAGTGCGGTCACACTGGGTTTCTGCCAGCTCCTTGGGACTCTGGCCCCACCCTCATCCTCCCCAGGCCCCCTTGGCTGGCGAGCTGAGGGGGGGCGCTGGGCTTGGCCTGGAGCTGGGCTGCGGAGCCAGCACTGGCGGCGGGCCCAGCCCTCCCCACATGGCCTCTCGTCCGTGCTGGGGTCCCAGCCTGACCTCTCCAGCTGCCCAAGGCGGCTTCCCTGAGCCAAAAGCCCAAGTCCCTTGAGGTCGCCACTCTACCCAGTCCCAAAGGGGCATGGGGCTTGCCTGTAACCCAGAGCCCTCGGGCCAGGACAGGCCTTCCCGGTCCCCACACGCCCCCTGCCCACATGTCCTTACTCTGGGGAAAGGCCTGCCACGGGTTAAGTCCACCTGAGCAGGAAGCTGTCTGCCAGAGCCAAGTCGGAAAACCCCTGGTGGGCGGGCCTGGGGTGTGTGAGGGAGCAGCAGCTGCCGGTCCCCTGACTCAGGTAATCGGTGACTTAACAGTGGCCAGCCTTGCCTCCCGCCTTCCTCTGAAGGTGACGGGAATCTGGCGGCAGATGGGCTGGGCCTGCGCAGTACAGCTCCCTTTCAGCTGCTTCGTTTCACTAGTGTTTTAGCCACCTTGGTTTTAGAGATAGGCCCCAAATTGGGGAGCTGAGTCTCCCCCCAGCTCCCCACACAGGAAGCACCCCGTGGCCTTGGAGGAGGCGAGGCACCTCCCCCCACAGCCTGACTCAGTTACCCCAGTTCAAGAGCCTTTGTGCTTCTACCAAGCCAAATACCAGCGACACCGCCCCTCCCCGCCTCGGGAAACCAGGCCTGGGAAGATTAACCAGGGGCCTCCCCACGATAAAGGAGGGTCGGCCCTTATCACCAGAGGCCACAGCACTTGGCAGTTGTCCTGTTGATTCTGAAGAAGCCTCTGGGGAATGGTAACATCTCGCACCCCAACTCCTTCCAGACTCAGGGGGCGTCAGAGGCTGGGTAGGATTGGGGCGCTGGCAGAGAGGGAGGCCAGGGCAGGGAGGGGCCAGAGGCCACGGAGAGAGAAAGCTGGAACTCCCTGTGGCAGGCATGAATGAGAGCTGGGAGCGTTGCCTGGAGACAGGTCGTGTGACTGTTGGAAACGATCCTGGAGGGCGGAGCCGAGCAGGCAAGTAAGATTCAACCGAAAGAAGGCAGGACGTGGCCCAGAAGCAGGCAGGCCCCGCAGATGCGTCTCTCCGGCCTCTCTGCCACCAGACAGTTCCTTTTGGCTCTCATCAGGAAGTCGGTGCCAGGCGTCTGCCAGCTGACTGTCCCTAGACCCCAGCTGTGCCCAGTTTCTTGCAGCATCTGTCATCCCCAGGGCTCATGCCATCCTGCGGTGGGGCACACGATCTTGGAACAGAGGCTCTGAGAGGGAGGCATCGGTGGTGGAGGGTGGAGGCTGACTGGGTCCCCTGCGCCTCCACCCCTCCTTGGGGGCAGCTCTCCGTGTCTGCTCATGCCCCAGGCCCTTGGCACGCGAGCCCAGGACAAGGTAGAGAGCTCTGAAGAGCAATGTCTGGCATTCCACCCGGGGTCTCCTCCCCACTCCCACAGGGAGCCTGGGCAGCCCTCAGGAGTCAGGCCCCGGCTCTGGCAAGGAACTAAAGCCCCCCCCCCAGTTCCTGTGGGTGGGAACTGGGTGCCAGGAACAAGGCTGGAGAATTCACCCGAGGGGCGCTCTGGGTGGGCGGGCCAGCAAGACGCAGTCCTCGGACCTCTCCATCCTGCCCAGCCTTGTGCGCCACTCAGCCTGCTGTTGTCTTTCCCTTGACCCTAAGGGTCAGCAGCCCTGCTCAGCTGCCTCTGGCGCTGGGTGGCTATTTGGGCTGATCGCTTACTTCTTTGTTTCCTCTGCCTGACCCTTGGCCTGGGTCACAACGAAGCCACCTGACAGCCAGTCCTGCCTGGGCACATGTGGCCTCCTTCCCAACCGGGAGCCTCAAACTTGGCATAAAACTTGACTGACTGGGGGGAGGGAGGTTTGAGAGTTAAAGGTATTTTATTGAGGTACAACAAGAACCGTACACTTCCGTGATTTTTCACTTTATCCACAACGTTGTGCAAATATCTCTACTACATTCTTCAGGAATGTTTTTGCCACTCCAAGAAGAAACTCATACCCAATAGCAGTCACTCCTCACTCCCCTTGCCCCAGGCCCTGGCAACTACTGATCTACTTTCTTTATCGATTCACCTACACCAGGCATTTAATCTAAATGGAATCACTCAAACAGGGTCCTTTCTGTCTGATTTCTTTCATTTAGCATATTTTCAAGGTCCATTCTTGAAGTAACATGTGACAGTACTTTCTTTTCATTTTCCAGGGCTGTATGATATTTTACTGTTGGCCAAACTGTATTTCATTCACTCTTTCATTCATCCATGGACAGACCCTGAGGTTGTTCCACTTGCTGGCTGTTGTGACTATCAGACACCTCGGTATATGTTTTTGGGTGAACACCTGTTTTTCAGTTCTCTTGGGTATGTTCCAGGGAAATGGAGTGTGGGAGTGCTGTAGATTTATAGAGGACAGGAAGAGGGACAGGAGTGAATGAAGGAGAGGGAAAAAGAAGAGACAGAAGAGAAGCAAAGGGCCTGAAACTTTTTTTTTTTTTTTGAGCTGAACAATAGTGTCTAGAATACATGGCAAAGGAGTTTGGACTGGATTCTGCCATCCCAGGGGTCTCCTGAGGCTTCTGAGGACTGAGGTGGGTAATATACAACCTGCACCAGAAGACTGGCAGTGCTCCCCCGCGACGGAGCTGGGGGAGCCTAGAGACCATTTTATGAACTATCAGAAGACAGTCACCCAGCAGCCACTCTCCATTCCTACGGAAACAGCACCCCAGATTCCCTGCAGGGTGACCACCTTTCCTCCACGCTCTTCCTTTGCCTCAACCTAACACTGCATTGCATCTCCTGGCTTCAGTGACCCGTCAGGGATGGGTGGGAACTAAGGTGTTCCAAAGGTAAGCCTTCTTCTAGGGCTGATGGAGAAGATACGGCTGCAAGGGCGGAGTTGCTACAGCCCTTTCACCACCACGAGGAGAAACACAGGACATCCGGGTGCCAGGAGTGAACAGCGGGGTCAGGAACGCCTTCTGGTGTTTGAACTACACGGAAGCTCGTCTCCATCCCAACCGTGAACCACAGATGCCCCTCACCCTTTCTTTTTTCTTCTTCTTTCTCTTTTTTTCCCCACTTAACCTAGTTTGAATTTTCTGTCACTTGCAACCAATAGGATGAGGGCCTGAACTAGGGGAGGAGGACTGCGGGGACTGTCAAGGAACAGACAGATAAAAAGCAGCTCAGATCAGAAGGAGGGCAGCAACCACCCTCCCACCCAACCTGCCAGAGGCTGGGAGTCACTGCCTCCAGAAGCCACGGGCTGGATTCAAACTCCAAACCCTCTGTCTTCCCACCCTGCCAGGTGGTGAACATGGCCACCCAACAAGGACGGACTTAGAGGGGTCCCAGGTACCGGCCCTAGCGCCAGGAGCACATGGAGGAGGGAGGTGAGGCGGACGGACGGGCTGCAGGAGGCGCCCGGTGTGCTGGGAGGATGGATGAAGGGCAGCACCCAAGAGGGCCGCTGGAGCCGGGAGGCGCCCTGGAGAGACGCAGGCACGGAGAGGGGACCGCGGGCTCCCAGAGATCCAGAGCTGCAGAAGGAGATGTTGGGAGCTGGTGCAGGGGCGATGGGCCAGACACTGCTGTGGAAGGGACCTTGGACGACACTTTTCCTTAACAACAGGGCAAAGGGCGCGGGACTGGCTTGGGAGAAGAGAAGGGTGACAAGATTCTAGTGGGCAGACAAGAGGATGCTCCTGGATATCCATCCATGGTGGGCTCAGCTGACTGCGTTTCAGGAATTTGGGCCTCTCTGTCACCCACCCCCGTCACTCTGTGTTCTCTGTTCCTGAGTAGCCAGGGCTGTGGCTGCTCCCTCTAGGTGTGCCCTGGAAATGCCCAGGGGCCTAGGCTGGGCCACCCTTGGTCCAGGGTGGACCAACAACCAGCTCTAGATCCCCCCGCCCAGACCCCTTCCCCTCCTCCTCTTCCTCTTCCTCCTCCTCTTCCTCCTCCTCCTCCTCCTCCTCTTCCTCCTCCTCCTGGGCTGCAGGCTACTCCCCACCCCCCCCAGAGCCCTCCTGACAGCTGAGGGCCTGCAGCTGCCTAGACCTGGGGCCTCTCAGAGGTCTCAGGGACAGCTGCTGCCCTCTGACCCTGCTGACCCTGCTCCCTGGCAACGCGGGCGCCTGTGCATGGTCCGCGGGCTCTCCTCTGCCTGCTCTTATCATTGCCACATCCTCCTGGGGTCGGAAGCATTTCATGCTGAGAAAGAGAACCAAGCCTCCGAGGCTGAGTCAGCAGCCTCACTGGGAGGAGTAGGGAGGGAGAGGCCACGGGCAGGGGCAGCCCCCAGCCCTTCAGAAGAAGCAGCTTCCCCCAGCAGGAGTGTGGGAGACCCTGGGTGAGGGTCTTCGTCCTGCCCCTCCGTCAGCGCTGAGCCCTGCTCACCGGCTCTCCCAGCACAGAGCAGGGAACGTGGGGAGACCGAGGGTTGCTCCCGATTCCTGGAAGGCTCTTCACAAGGCCCTGTCCACTCAAGGACTCCAAGGCCCCTTTGAGTGGTCAGCTCCCTAGGACACTTCTGGCAGCAGAAGAGGCCTCTGGGAAGGGGTGCAGAGGCTCAGGCTTAGGGGTGGGGGAGCTTGGGAAGGATTTGTCGCGTTCACCCTTTTTTTTTTTTTTTTTTTGATACCAGGGATTGAGCCCAGGGGCACTTAACCACCAAGCCACATTCCCAGCCCTTTTTATATTTTGTCTTGAAACAGGGTCTCACTAAGTTGCTTAGGGCTTTGCTCAATTGCTAAGGCTGGCTTTGAACTTGTGATCCTCCGGCCTCAGCCTCCTGGGCTGCTGGGATTACAGGCCTGCACAGCGGTACAGGGCCTCCCTTACATCTTGCTAGAAGTCTCTCAGGCACGTGAGGAACAGCACTGACAGCATGACTTGCTGCCCCCACCCCCGCCCCCCAGACGTGCCTCCGTGACTCACAGTCTACTCCTGAGCTGGAAAACCATATAGGTGTAAAAATGTGATCTGGAGAACACACTCCTCATCCTGGTGCAGAGGCACTAGTTCTGTTTCTGTTACTCTTCATACAATACCGTAGACTGGGAGGCAATAAAGAAAAGAGGGTTTGTTTTTGTACCAGGAATTGATCTTGGAGGTGCTTTACCAGTGAGCCACATCCGGCTGGGATTACAGGTGTCCACCTCCATGTCCTCAGAAGAGAGGTTTAATTTGGCTCACAGGACCAGATGTCCAAGGTGGAAGGGCCACATCTTGGTGATGGCCTTTTGCTGGCAGAGCCTCCATGCTGCATGGGGTATGAAATGACAAGAGACAGAGAGTGTGGAGAGTGTGTGCAGTGGGGGAGGTGGCACTGGGGATTGAACCAGGGGATCTCTACCCTGAGCCACATCCCCAACCCCTCTTTATATTTTTATGTTGAGAAACAGTCTTGCAAAGTTGCCCAGGCTAGCCTCGAACTTGGGAATCCTCATGCCTCAGCCTCCCAAGTAGCTGGAAGTAGCATCCCTGAGCCTGGATCACCAGCCACCAGAATCCAATCATGGGGAAGGGCCCACCCCATGACTTTAATCCTAATCACCCCACAAAGACTTATCTCCATTTTTGGTCAGATTAAATTTCTACTCTCTCAATGCCTCACGATGGGGATCTATTTGTTTATTTATTTATTTACTTACTTATTTATTTGGGGTACTAGGGATTGAACCTGCTTAACCACCGACCCCAGCCCTTTTTTGCATTCTATTTAGAAAAAGGATCTTGCTGAGTTGCTTAGGGCCTCGCTAAGTTGCTGAGGCTGGTTTTGAACTCTCGATCCTCCTGCTTGGGCCTCCTGGGCTGATGGGATTATCGTGCACCACCACACTGGCTCACAACGGGGATTAAACTTCAACTGAGTTTGCTGAGGAAAGAAAGCATATTCAAACCAAAATATAATGTTAACTGAGAAAAAAAAAAAGCAAAGTGAAGACCAGTGTGGATAGTGGAGGCCCCCAACAAGGGGTTCAGCCCTCCCCTGGCTCCCATGAGGGCCTACAGGACTTTGGGGCTGTACTTGTCTACATATTGGCTATTTGTGACAAAAAGATGGGCGAGGCTTTGGTTGAACTTAAAGAACAACTCTAGCAGGGGTACAAGAAACTGGTCACATCCATTGTCTCCAGGAGGGGAAGTGGGTGACAGAGGTAAGATTTTGCCTCTTGAATTTTCTGAATTTTGAACCACACGAAATCGTGTCCTTATCCAAAAAGTAATTCAAATGAAAAAACTGCTAGTCGTATCAGGCCACAGGCCCTCGATAGGCTTCCCGAGGCAGCCAGAAACTCTCAGGAGCTATCACCTCCCTTCAGTTATTCTGTAGTAGGATTTTACCTCTCAGTGGCCAGTAACAGAAACTAACCCCAACTGAGTTAAGCAGAACTGGAATTTGTTGGTTTATGCAATGGAAACTGTTTCAGGCATGACCGGATCCAGGAGCTTACGAGCAACATCACTGAGATTCAGTCTCTGGCTCTGCTTGGCTCTGTTTGTTCTCCAGCAGGCTCTCCCCTCAGGGTGGTAAAAATGACCAGCAGCCTTTGGGGGCTGGCATCTAGGCATTCGTAACCCTGACTCCCAGTAAGTCCCCAGGCTGATGCCCATTGGTGTTACACGCCCATCCCTGAGCCTAGGAATGGCCCAGCGTGGCCAAGAACAAGCTTCAAACCCACTTTTAGAGCTCGGGGTAGGCACTGTATTGCTGGAGACTCTGCAAGATTGTATTTTGGACGATGCCGGAATAAAGGGACAGATGCCGGGCAGGGAAGACAGTGCTCACCCTCCACCCCCTGGACTGACCCCCAGGACAGGCCTGCTGGACCTCTCTTGCCTTCTGATCACCCAGTGCCTTTGCCTTCACCAGGACTCTTCCTGCTCTGCCTGCAGTGGACACAGATGGCAGCTCCAGTGTCCTTCCCTTTCTCGGCCCAGCAAACTCCCTTTCACCTGTCAACACCCTGCTCACTTGTCACCTCCTCCAGGCCCTTCTGACTCCTTCTCATGGCTGTTCTCTTGGGTTCTCCACCTGAGCCAGGGTGATTCAGAGCTGCCTCTAGCACAGGCCCTGGCCGAGGCACACCTCCTGCTGTCTTGGAGTTGGTTATTTGTTTCCTGAGGGGTTAGCTGTTCTCTGAGGGCTGGGCCCAGCTTGGCCACCTGTGTCTTCTCTGCTCCAGCTCAGCCCTAGGCAAGGAGAAGATGGGTTTCGAGATTAATGACATGGTGTCCCTGAAGGCGTGGGAAGCACTGAAGACGGCCTCTGCTGACTCCACAACTGTTCCCTACGCCCAGGGACAGCCGTGGGGCTGACGTTCCCAGAGGCTCTGGGAGGAAGTGCCTGGGCCTGTCCCTGCTAGGACAGGGCTGTCACCATTCTGGAAACCCCCATGTCACTGGGCCAGAAGCCAAACTTCAGGCATAAAGAAAAGTTCCTCCGGCAAGGCCCTGCCACCACGCAACTCCCAAAGAGGGGCCCAAGGCCCAGGGAGCGGGCTGGGCTAAGGCGGAGTGCCCCGCCATCTCCGGTCCCAGCCTCTGCTGGGTCCAGTTCTCTGAAGCGGGTGAAGAGCAGGAGGGAAGAGCTGCGATTGGCAGGCATCCTGTGGGGGGAGGAAATGAGAAACAATCAAGGCAAACCCCAGCGCAGAGCTGGGGGCTCAGGACACGGGCCTGCAGGCTGCACTCAGCTGGGATGTTGGCGACACCCATAGGTAGGTGGAGCTCCTTCCAGCTCTTGGCTGACCTGTGGGCCTGCTCAAGGGGCTAGGCATCTCCTGAGGCTTCTCCTGAGGTTTCTCCTCAGCACCTCCCCTAGATACCCGTCCAAGAGGACTCCACCCTCCCCTTGAGACTCTCTGCTGCCAGGTCTCCCTCAGGGTGCTGGGTCCCCAGGTGATGGAGCCCGAGGAGAGAGGACTTCCGCTCTGGTCTTTTCATGCTGGCCACCCTTGGGGGAGGGGACGTCTGATTCTGGCCCAAGGGCCCTTAGCGAGTTCCAGGAAGAAGGAGCCAGGAAGGAAGGGTTGAATCAGCCCCCTCTGTGTGGGGGGAGGGGGGTGGTAGTGGGGGAGGGGCTATGGGGCTGCCGGGACTATCCCAGGGTATGGGAGGCTCCAGGCAAAGGAAAAGGAAGTTGCATTCGCCATTCCAGTGTCTCTCTACCATGGGCTGCCTTGCCCCTCCCAAGTGCCCTCTTGGCCACCAGAGAGTCCAGAAGCTCCTCCGACAGGACAATCCAGGCCCAACTGAGTCCTCAGACCCAGACACACGGTCCAGGCTTGGGTTGGCACTTGCCTCTGTGTCTTCTGGGTCAGAAATGCAGGACTAAGGCGGAACACACACACACACACACACACACACACGTCCCTACACATACCTGAGAAGCTGTGTGGGAAAGCCGGTTTTAGTAACTGGAGTCCCATTTTAGAAATGCTTAATTGCAGGTCCCTGCAGCGATGCTGGGTGTATACACAAAGATCTCATCCATTCAGCAGAACCTCCTCAGGGACTCTGGGGTCCCCAGCCAAGGGACAGCCTCATCTGTGAATAGGAAAAGGAAGTGTCCTGCTCTCTTCTTGCAAAGGGCAGAATCCAGGGTCGGGTGTTGGTGGGAGTAGTCCAAGCAGCAAGGGGTACCAGCGCCACACAGAAGCTTGTCCCACAGGGGTGTGCAGACGGCAGCTCCAGTCCTGGCTTGGCGCCCTGGCCTGGTAGCCAGGCTGGAGGAGGAGAGCAGGGGCTTGAGCCAGGCTCAGGGGCTCTGTGGCTATGGACTTCTGCCCCAGGACCCCCAAACCCACCCTCCTCAAAACCTTTGCAAAGAGCTCTAGGTTGGTTCCTGACTATTGGTGGCTCTGACCAAGAGCTGGAGCCTTCTCCATCCTCCTTCCCTGGAATTGTCTGTGTCAACACCTGCTCTGAATGCAGCTCCTGACCGTCCCCAGCCCCAGCCCCGATGGAGGACTTCTGGGGGCACCGTGCAGGGGTGGGGGCTTTGGCTCAGCTGGACCCCTACAGGTTCAGGTGGCTTTATCATTAGAGTTGCCTGGTCAGTCGGCAAGGACAGCTGCCCGCCAAAGCTATTGTAACGTTTCACAAAACTTTGCTGCCTGCGGGCCTGTGTATTCCCATTAATAAAGCACATGTGATCCCCTGTGTGGGACACATGTGGCCTGATGCTCTTCCCCTGTTTCACAAGCAAGGACACTCAGAAAGGGAAAGTTCTTTCCTGGAGACCTCAGAGCAAGTCATCAGCAGAGCTAGCTCAGAGCCTGGTTGGTGGCTCAGAGCTCAGTGTACTGAGTCACCCCTCCCCTCCCAGGATCCACTGGAAGGGCAGAGACAACGATTCTGAGAAGCCTGAGGGAAGGGGTTCAGGACCCTCATGTTCTGCCCCTTTCCGGCCAAGCAAATCATTGTAGTAATCCCAAAAGAGTTTCTCTTTTTGAAATATTTTTAGTGGTGGGGATTGAACTCAGAGGCGCTTAATCACTAAGCCACATCCCCAGCCCCTTTTACATTTTATGTAGAAATAGGACCTCACTGAGTTGCTTGGGGCCTCGCTAAGTTGCTGAGGTGGGCTTGAACTTGTGATTCTCCTGTCTCAGTCTCCTGCCAAACCTCAGTTTCTCTTTTACAAGGGGATAATCATTCAAGCTCTGATCACTCACCAGGCAGGATTCAGGGACAAAAGGCAAGGTAAGGGCATTGGTGGGTCTGAGGGGAGAAGTGCCTGGCAACACCCAGGTGGCCAAAAGGGGGAAAGACACAGCCTTTAACACACACAGCCTCTTAGTCCATACTCTGCTGCTGTAACACAATGCCACAGGCCAGGTGGTTTATAAATAAATAGAGATTTATTTGGCTCATGGTTCCGGAGTCTGGAATGTCCAAAAGCACAGTGAGGGCCTTCAAACTATGTCTTCTCATGATGGAAAGAAGAAATATAAGAAAGGGAGAGGGAGACAGATTGAACTTGCAGCCCCAAGCCCTTTTATAATGAGCACTGATCCACTCAAAGGGGTGAAATCCACATGACACAAACACCTCCCAACAATGCTTTAAGTTTCCAAAACATGCTTTTGTGGGGAGGACACGTTCAAACCACAGCACCCACCTATGCCACAACTGGACCTTGGGTCATCCTTCCCTCTTCCTGAACTTTTCAGCCTGTTTCCTCCAAGCCACCAGGCGAGTCCTGGCAGAACGCCCCTCACCCATCCTCCCTGGGGAGCTGAGGGAGGAGCTGAGCAGGCTCGAGATTAAAACCTGAAACTTCCTGTATTCGTTTTCCACTTCTGCTGGAACAAATTAACACAAACGTGGAAGCTTAAAACAGCATGAATTCATTATCTTACACTCTGTGGGTCAGAAGTTCAACGCAGGTTGCACTGGGTTAAGATCAGTGTCAGCAGGGCCATGTTCCTTCTGGGGGTTCTCGGAGGGGATCTATTTCCTTACACAAATTCCTTGGCTTCTGGCCTCTTCCTCCATCTTCAAAGACAGCTGCAAGGCAACCTCTGGCCCTTTTTCTAGAACAATGTCTCTTTCTTTGACTCTCCCCTTCTGTCTCCTCTTCTATTTTTAAGGGTCCCCGTTATTACACTGGGCCCACCCAGATAATTCAGGATGGCCTATCTTAAAGTCAACTGAGCTGGCCGTCGTGACACATGCCTGTCGTCCCAGCTACCCTGGAGGCTGAAGTAGGTAGATCACTTGAGCCCAGAAGTTCAAGACCAACCTGGATAACAGAGTGAGACCCTATCTCAAATATTAATAGCCTTAAGCCAACTGATTTAGCAACTGTAATTTCCTCTTTCGATGTAATAAAACATTCACAAATTCCAAAGATATAGAAAATGGACACCTCAGGGTGAGCATTCTGCCTACCAAGACCCCCCTACCACTAACGTCCTTCCTCCTCACCCGCCTTACTAAGGGCCCTTCCCACATTCACAGCTTGGAGCCAACCCTCCTGGACCCACTGTACCTTCTGGGCTGACACTCCGTGGACAATGAAGATCTCCTCACCAGATCACTATCCCCCTCTTCATCTGCCTGAATCTTAGCACTGACCCACCTGGAAGGATATCACTTTGTGCTTGGGACCTTGGATTTCTTGACTTTCCCTTTACTGTGCTGTAGGCTCCAACCCAGGGGGTGCTGAATTCCCAGAGCTTAATCCATAGCAGATGCTCAACATATATCTGTTGAATCACTGAAGGGAACAAGGACAGAGTTTCCCTCAGTTATCTCCAGACCCTGTGAAGTCCTGCCGGTCAATAACTGTATGAGTCCATGGAGTGAGTCAGAGCCCCACCTCCTCTCTGGAAGTCACCTAGCTGGTCAGCAAATACAGGTGTGCCCAGACCACACACTGCGGTTTCTCTCTGTCTCTCTTTCTGTCTCTCCTCTGGCTCTTCTAGGAGAGCTTATAAGCTCTTCAAAACGCTCATGAGTTTGTAAGATTTCAACGTGGACACTTCCAATGCCCCATTCATTCGCATAGTAGGGCCTCCCCTGACACAGCCCTTAGTAGGTCCAGTGATGCCCAGTGAATATGAAGAATTGGGTCTTCTAGCAGCCACTTCCCCGGGCCTTCTAGAACCAAGGGTTTGGCTCCAGAGGGCACAGTCTTGAGTCCAGGGAGTCCATCCCCGGTATTGGACAGCGCCGGCCAGCAACAACGGAAGCAGGACCGCGCCCTTGGGAGCGCGAGGCCTCTGTACCCCAACCCAGCGCCTCTGCACTAGGGGAGCCTTGGGCGGTGCCCGGGCGGGGCGGGGCTGTGGGCGTGGTCCTACTGGGGCGGCACCGTCATTGGATCTGCAGGACGGGGGCGGGGCTTTAGGGCCACTGTCCGCACAGTAAGTTCACAGCCCGGGTCGGGTCCCACAGCCTGGCGGTCCAGCTCCCAGCTTTCGCCTCCTGCGGGTCCGCTGACAGCGCTCCTGATGGTGAGTTCGGGCCAGGGCTTCTGCAGCTCTCCCGCGGCTCCGCGGGGTCCCCTGAGAGGCCCATCCCAGAGGCTCCGGGTCCCCGCTCGCGCCCCGGTCCCGGCTTCACCGCCGCTCAGGTTCTCGGGCTCCGTGGGCTTTTCCTCCTGCGCCTCGATCCCCGCAGCCCCGCCCGTGACCCGCACGGCCCGTGGGGCGCCGCACTTCCACCTGAAAATCTCCAGTCCTCCTTCCAATCTGCCCGAACCTCGGTCCTAGCCCCGGGCACCCAGAAGCGTCCTCCTGCCACCCAGTGTCCCCGCCGGGGCTCGGGCCGTATTTTTAGCCGATGGTGAGATGTTCTCCTATCTTTAGCCGCGGCTGCAGTGTCCTGAAATGGATCCCGGCTGGGCTGAGCTGCGCTCGGACTGGGGACCGGGAGGGGTCGGCGCCGGAATTCGAGTCCGGGCAGAGGAACCCGACCCGCGGGAGGGGCGGGGGCTTGTTCGTCGGAGCTCTGGCCCGGCGCCGAGCGGACACTCGGACATCGCCCAGGCCGGGAAGCACCAGGGAGGCCCCTCCCAGAGCTTGGAGACAGGGACAGGGTCCCCCATCGCCCCTTTCCCCCATTCATTGTCTGTATGTGCGACCAGTAACTCCCAAGAGAAAACGATCCCACAGACAATCCTCATCTGATACTCGAACGCGCTGCTCCTCGGGGACTCCTGCCTGGAGCCGGAGGCGCGCTGGAGACCCGGTTGCGCCCTGGGACTCCTCCAGGACGCTGGACGATAGCGGGAGCGCGCGCGCCACCTAGTGGCTGCAGAGCCGGGCGCGTTCCTCACCCAGACACTGGGAGACGGCTAACCAGCGCTTGCCGCTGGCCAACTCCGGGTTGGCCAGGAGCAGTTTGTTCTTGATCTTGTTCAAGGCAGTGTCCCCGAGACCCACAGTGCTTGAGGAAGGCATTGCAGATAGTTTCTGAATATCCATTTGACAGGACTGATAGTGACCCCTGCGCCCTCACTGGCGGGACAGCAGTGAGGCCTCCAGCAGCCGTCAGCCCATTTTCTGAATGAGGAGGGTGAGACCCAGAGAGGAGGGGTATCTTGCCCAAGATCACCCACTCCCGGATGGAACTGGATTTACAGCCAGTCTTCTAGTTTGAAGCTCAGGGGCCTCCTTCTTGAATATCCCTAGTGGGGAGTGGTCTGATATTCCTCGGGACAGGAGAGACCCCATCTCCAGGAAGTCATTTTCTCTGAGGGAGGTCCAAGGCAAGTCCAGAGAGCTGGGATGGCTCTCATCTGCTCCTCCTACTGCGGCCTGGCGCCATTCCACCAGCCTTCCAGGGATAGCCTTGTCCTAAGGAAATCTCATTCTCATCTCTGCACACTTGCAAGTTGGGGGGAGTGGGGAGCCAAAGGGCATGACTAGATGGAAGGGACCTGGTGATTTCCCTCCCACTCCCCAGATACATCCCACTTGTAGCAGCCCACCCCATTTGAGCCACATGGATCAGTGCCAGCTCTTGCTATTTGGTTGGCCTTGGAAAGTTTCTTAACATCGCTGAGATTCAGCTGCCACTTCTGTACAGGGCAATAAGGACACTCACTGTGATGTGACTGGGAACATTAGTATGGGAAGCTTCATGGTTGCCAAATCTAAATACTTGAGGCTTGCTGGTTGTAATTTCCAGCTCTCCCCTGGGTGGTTGATGCGGGCCCCACCCTTCCCCTTAGCCTCTGGTCTCTCCACATCTGGAATTGGGTGGGTACATCTGGCTCTGAGTGAGACAGCTGTCAGGGACGCCCACTTTGCTGTGGAAACATTCAAGCTGGCTTGGTGCTCTAGTGTGATTTAGGGATGGAGGGAGGACCTGGCCCAGGCTCTGGGCAAATCCCATAGGTGAGCCCCACTCTCCAACAGTGGAAAGGAAGGAAAAGCTCTCCCAGGACTCTCTCCTGACAAGGGAGTGGATTGGATATTTGTCAGCATGTCCCTGGGCTTGGTGTGGTAGACAGAGGATAAATGGTTTTCTAAGACCCTGGGAGGCCCACCGCCTCCCCTCCCTTCCCGGCAGCTCCTTCCAAGCTTAGCTGGAATGCTACCACTGGAGAGTCATTCCTTTGTTTCCTGTGCAGCTGCAGGTGCTCTGGGAGGAGCAAGATGTCCAGAGTCCATGGTTCAGCCTGACTGACCTGGGGTGTCCGGTCTTGGGGTGGGGTTTCCTGATCCAAGGCCCACATTGGGGGGAAGGACTGGGTCCCGTTCTTGCATCCTCCTTTCTCCTTCCTGCTTCCTCCTGCCCAGGATGAAGGATGAGGCAGGGGAACTGGGAGATGCCTCCTTTGCTTACCCCTGGCTGACCTATGGGGTGGGGAGCAGTGGGAGAGGGCAGGCTCATCTGGCTTGAATCCTGGCCCTGACCTTATCTGCTGGATGATCTTGAACAATTTTTTTTCTTTGCCTCTTTATGCTGATTGCACATCTGGGCTCCTGCATGTCTGTACTGTGCCAACCAGGCCCTCCATGCATCACCCCCAGGAAGCAGAGGACACACTTGCTCCATTTCCTTTTTTTGTTCAACCAGTATGACACTCTTTCATGGTGTATTTATTTTTTCCCACATTAAAAATAGCTTTAGGGGCTGGCGTTGTGGCTCAGTGGTGGAGTGCTCGCCTAGCATGTATGAGGCCATGGGTTCGATTCTCAGCAGCATATAAAAATAAGTAAACAAAAAATAAAGGTATTGTGTCCAACTACATATATATATACATATATACTATCTATCTATCTATATATATATATATATCTTTTTTTCCTGACTACATAAATAATATATGCTCATTATTTTAAAAAAAAATTTTTAGCTGTTGATAGACTTTTATTTTATTTATTCTTATGCGGTGCTGAGAATCGAACACAGTACCTCATACATGCTGGGCAAGTGCGCTTCCACTGAGCCCCAGCCCCAGCCCCAATATGCTTATTAGTAAGAACTTGATGACCAGGCCTGATGGCCAGGCCCAGGCTTATCATCCCCACGACTTGGAAGTCTGGGGCAGGAGGATTGCAAGTTCAAAGCCAGTCTGGGAAATTTAAACAGACCCTGTCTCAAAATTTAAAAAATAAAAATTAAAAGGGCTAAGTGGCTAAGTGCTCTTGGGTTCAATCTCCAGTCCTCCCCCCCCAAAAAAAAATTAAAAAGTTGATGGCTGAGGTGTAGCTCAGTCAGTGGTAGCACACTTACTTAGTATGTTCAGCAAGGCCCTCGATTTAATCCCCAGCAACACACACACACCCACACCCACACACACACACACAAACAAGTTGAGTTTAGAAAAGTCTGAATAAGACAGAGAAGTTAACCTGAGATTGTACACCTTGAGGCAACCACCATCAACATTTGGCCAAACACTCTTTGGCTTTAACGTGTACCATACACGTACACCACATTGTAATAACCGGACCAAGTGTTACAGATCACCTTTACTGAGGACATCTTTCCTTCCTCATCCATGACTCCACACATCCTCTCTGCCCCTACCTGTCAGTGTAGTCCATGGGACAATCTAAATTCTTCCAGATTCTTCTCTGTCTTTATAAAAGAGGACAGAATCCTATACAGACCCATATATGTATGTTCTTATACATGCCTATATGGAGAAGGAGTCGTGCTTTTAATAAATGGCACCACCTATACCATGTTTTTGCATTTTCTTCTCTCTCTTCAATGCCTTGAAGGAATCCTCCCCAAATAGGTTTTTGTTTGTTCGTTTGTTTTTGTTTTTTTACGGTGCTAGGGATTGAATCCAGGGCTTCACACATACCAGCGAAGGACTCCACCACTGAGCTATATCTTCACCTCAATACCCTAATTTTCAAAGGTGGGGGGTGATAGTAGGGTGGTGGTATTGATTGAGATGTGTTTGCAGAAAGCCCAAAAGAATGTCAGGTAAGAGTTCCCACTAGAAATATCTAAACTGTCCACTCTACCTGCCCTTCAGGTGTGGGCAGGGAGGGAGGGCCTACACTGTATTAGATTCAGGGGCCCCTGCGCATAAAAACTCCTAACTCCCCTCTAGGTGGGATGTGACTGGACCCGTGTCCTGTGGGTCCAGTCCGACTGTACATCCTGCCCCAGGTCACGCCTAAGCAGAACAGTTTTCAAGCTCTCTGTCCTCAGTTGAGTTGGGTATTGAGACCATGTGTGAGACCACCACGCAACTTGGTACCTACATGTCATGAGGGATAATGTGTCATGAGGTGCAGTGGATCAGGAAAGGGAGAGAGAATTCAGGTGGAGGTGATAGGCAGAGCCTGGGATCAGAGTAGGACTTTGTACAAGACTTGTGCCTATCACTCAAGTTCCAAGCCTCAGTTTTAGGCATATAAAGGGAGGGGCTTGGTGCTGGTGTTCTGTCCCATTTTTTTTGGGGGGGGAGGTTTACTGGAGATCAAATCCAGGGGCACTTTACCACTAAGTTATATCCCTAGTTCTTTTTATTTTGAATTTTAGATTTTGAGGCAAGTTCTTACTAAGATGCTGAGGCTAGCCTCAAAATTGCAATCCTCCTGCCTTAGACTCCCAGGGTCTACTCTTTCAGATGCAGTGGATTTATGAAGACCTGCTTCTTCCAGAGGGCTCCCCCAAGGAGAGGAGCCAAGTCGGACTGAGGCAGGGGGACCAGAAATGAAATGGTTACTTTTGTCCTCTTGTCCCTGACTTATATGCCCCCTTTGTGTTTCAGCTCCTCAGCCCTGGACTCAGTTGGGAATCTCAGGAACGAGACCAAAGCACACTGCTAGCAACAGATTCCCCATCTTTCTGCCTCCAGTTCTCAAAAAAGAATTTCCAACCCTTTGGGAGAAAGTGACTTTTATCTCAACCTCTGCCTTCCCTGG